AAACACACCACCCGGTCTGGGAATGTACATATTTCTAAGAATATTCCATTGCCTGCGGGCTTCTCCCCAGTCCCTCCCAGAGGTGACCAGGGTCCTGGATTTTGTGTTCGTTATGAACCCTCCTACTAAACACAACAATTCCACATACATCTGACCATGCATGTCATTCTTTTGCTTTAAAACATTTGCTACCTATGTTGTCCTTGCTTTTTTTTTTTTTAATATATATTTTTAATTGATTTCAGAGAGGAAGGGAGAGGGAGAGAGAGACAGAAACATCCATGATGAGAGAGAATCATGGATTGGCTGCCTCCTGCACGCCCCACACTGGGGATCGAGCCCGCAACCCAGGCATGTGCCCTTGGCTGGAATTGAACCTGGGGCCCTTCAGTCTGCAGGTCAGTGCTCTATCCACTGAGCCAAACCAGCTAGGGCTGTTGTCCTTGCTTTTAAAAAAAATTGTGTGGGTTTTTTTTTATTGATTTCAGAGAGGAAGAGAGAGAGAAACATCCATGATGAGAGAGAATCATGGATCAGCTGCATCCTGCACGCCCCCTACTGGGGATCCAGCCCGCCACCTGGGGCATGTGCCCTGACAGGGAATCTAACCGTGACCTCCTGGTTCCTAGGTTGGCGTTCAACCACTGAGCCACACCGGCCGGGCTGTTGTCCTTGCTTTGAAGAGCTTTATCAAAATGGTGTCATTTGGGCAGTTTTTCAGAACTTGCTTTTTATTTATTTATTTTTAAGTTGTTTTCTTTCTTCTTTTTTTTTCCTTACCATTGTGTTTCAAAGATCTCCTCCTGCTATGTATGTGTGGCTGCAGTTTGCTCAGTTTTGCTGCTGAATAGCGTTGCCTTCTGGGAATAGGATACAATGGATTGTGTTTCCACTAATACTTGTCGATCGTCAGTCCTGCGATGCCTCGTAATTTCCCTTCTTATGGATGACATTTGAGGGTGGGAGGGGTCGGGTCCACTTAGCAGAATGATTTCACATAAAGCTGCTTTCAGGCAAACAGTCGGTAACAGATGAAAATGAGGCGCCAGGTGCCTGCTGCCAAAGCAAGGAAATATACAGAAAAACCCCACAGCACGGATGGGTGGGGAGAGCCCTGAGGGTACAGCACGTTGCGATGCATTGCCCATGGGGTGGTGAAGCAGGGACTCCACTCCCTGTCTTGCTGCGTGATTTCATTTCCGAGGTTGAAAAACTTAAGTTTGACTTCGGTAGGTAGAGTGTAATCATTGGGGGGAAAAAAATCGCCTCCTCTGTCCAGCTGATCGAGTTAAAGCTGAAAGACAAACTCCATTTTGAGTCTTTCCCTCCTGTAAACATTAAGCTATATAATGAGTGTCTAACTTCGCTGTCTACAATAGCTTCATCTTCCTGATTTCCTAGTCCTTTAGGAAAACATAGATATTAAAAAATATATACACAAAGGGAAAGGTATTTTGGTTAAACAAACAAACACCCCCTCCCATGGAAATAACTAAGCATTTCTCCTTATTAATGCATCTTATGTCCTTCGGGACCACTGAATGGGAGTTTTTATTACTAATACTAAAAATACATTGTGTAGCATTTAAAGATTTTTATATCAGCATCAGTCTTTGAAAAGTCAGCTCTGAACTTCTGCCTGAATTTACAAGGACGTGCTTAAAAATCCTCAACACCAAATGTAGCGAGAATATAATAATATCGATTTTCCTTTTCATTTAAGTGCCGGATGGCTCGGTACGCATCCAGACCAGCCACACTCACGGGGAGCCCTCTGAAGAAATATGTAAAAATCAGTCGACTCGAATGTTAATCATTCCCACGTAGTCCCCCCACTTTAAAAAAAAAAAAAAAAAACGGTCCATGCTAAAAATGCAAGTTTCTTTTTTAAAGATTCCAATAGATTTGTTTCTTTGTGAATGTCCAGATCATCGAAAACGGGAACATTTTATTGGGGGGAAAAAAATTAAGCTGAATTTCAGTCGAGCAAAAAACAATCCCATATGCATAACTCTCTTAAGAAAAAGAAGGAAAAAAAAAAAAAAGATGTACTTTGCCTTCTATACAACTGACTCACTGCCTTGAGCTAAACATTTCCAAGGAGAAAAGTGATCTAGAGGGTAAAGATTAGGGGTGGGGGTGGGGGTGGGGGGTAGGTTTCCATGAGGATAGCTTTTGACTCGTGTTCAGGTCTTAATTTTTTTTTTTTAAATATTCACAAACGATGGGCTGCAGCATGGAGCTCGGCACTCTTTTGCTCTCATCCCAGAGTGGGAAAGAGAAACCGACCTTTTTCTTGAGAACAGAGGAGCCCCTGACCAGGCAGCCTGGCTGCTTAGGAGACAAACCCCTCTCCAGCCAGAGCTTCGGGACCCTGATTAGCCGCCGCCTTTTTATTTATTATTGACAATCCAGGAGCCTGAGCCCTGAAACCCGATCACATGGAGGCGACGCGGACTCCTCTCACTTTTTTTTTTTAAGTCCACGTCTTCCGAACTCCCTTCCTCCAGCCATGGCGAGGCCGGCCCCCCTTTAAGGATCCGGTCGGGCGGTCTCCGCCGCCTTTATTCGTTAGGTGGCAGCCCTCCGGCGCTCTGGCTATGGGGAACCCTCTCCTTCTGGGGACGTTCTAGGAAACCCCAGAGGAGACCTGGGCCGGGTGCTGGTGTCTGGTCACTCACACAGCCCAGGAGGCGAGAGGGAGGTGCCCGCAGGGCCTAGGGCAGGTGCGGGAGGGTTTCCGCCGTGACCACCGATCACGCGCCTGTGCGGCGCGTTCCAAGGTCCCCACTCCAACCAGGAGACGGGTCCCCGGCCGAGGACCCCCTCCCCCGACCTCTGCCTTTGGGGGCCCCTAGGACACACACCCCCTCCCCAGCCTCGAGGCCACCGCCGCCCGCCCCGTGCACGCGCTTCGGCCGCTCCCCGCAGCCGTCCACGTGGTGGAGCGCCGAGGCGCGCGAGAAGCATTCGGGGAGGGAGGGCCGCGGGTCCTCGAGGCCCCGCCAGCGCGACCCAGCCCGCCGGGCCCCTAGCCCGGGCCCCCACATTTCCTCTCGGGGAGGGAGGCGACACTCCGAGGGCCAGCCTGCCAGGGCGCCCGCTGCGCCCCCTAGCGGTCGGCGCAGGGACGCGCCCTGGGCGCGCGGGGCCGCCTGTCTGAGCCCCCCCCTTCCCCAGCTGCGGGCCGTCTCCCCTCGCATCCCCACGCCGAGCCCCACGGGCCGCGCCCTGCCCCCGTCAGCTCCCCGCGAGCCCCGCAACTCTGGGCTTGCAAGTCTGGACGCCGCGGCCGCCGCAGCCTTGCGGGGAAGTGCCCGCCTTGGGGGTCCCCTTGCTCCCAGGTGCGCCCCTCCCGCCGCGGCCGGGCTTCCCAGCAGGGCTGCGAGAAAACGCCGCCTGCACGCACGGCCTTATTTATTTTGCAACAGCTGCAGGAAACAATGAAGCTTTTCAAGATCGACGCAAACGCGCCTTCCGACCGCGCCGTTGTTTTTCAATGAACCTCTCGGGCCCCGCACTCCCCGCCCACCCCGCGCCCTCCCCTCCGCCCCTCCCCTCCGCCTCTCCCCGCTCGGCCCCCTCCGCCGGGCCCGGACTGGCGCCGGGGACCTTGTTTTTGGAGTCTTGCGGGAGGGGAGGGCGCGCGCGGAGTGGCCGGCGCAGTGCGGGTGGGGGCGCGAGCGGGGAGGGGGGGGCGCGCGCCAGCGAGCGAGCGAGCGAGCGAAGGAGCGGGCGTGTGGGTGCGCGCGGGCGGGGGGCGGGGGCGGGGGCGGGGGCGGGGCCCGTCCGCCTTGCACCTCGCGCTCCGGCTCCGCTCCGCACGTCCCGGGATCCAGGGCTCCGGCTCTTGGCGCGCGCCGGGCTGGGCCGGGCCCTGGGCGCTGGCGGCTGCGGCGCTGGCGGCTCCCGGGGGCGCGCGGGAGCGGGGGCGCGGACCCAGGCGCGAGCGCGCCAGCCCCCAGTGTGTGGCGGCGGCGGCGGCGGCGGCAGCAGCGCGGCGAGGCTGAGGCTCTTGTTTACCAGCATTAACTCCGCTCGGCGGAGGGAAAAAAAAAAAAGAGGGGGAAAAACCTGCGGACACGCGAGCGCACCGGGCGAGCTCGAGAGAGGCGGGCGAGCCAGGGGGACGCGGCCCGTGCGCCTGCCCCCGGCGCGCCCGTGCGGGTGCCTGCAGACCCTCGGCCCCGCTCCCCGGGCCCTCCACGCCCCTCCCGCGCCGGGGGAGCTCCACGGCGCGCCGCGCGCCTCGGCTTTGACCTTCAGCTGAGCCGGAGCCCCCACGCGCGGGGCCGGCGGCGGCGGCAGGCGGGGGCCGACGCGGGGCGGGCGCGGGAGCGCTGAGCGCGGCGCGGGCGGCCCGCCGCTTTGTGTGCGCCCTGGATTTGGGCAGGAGCTCGCGGCGGCGGCGCTGAGGGAGGCGGCGGCGGCGAGCCCGCAGGACCAGCCGGAGCGGAGCCGCTCATTCATTTCCGACTCCGCATCTCGGCCTCGCCCGCGCCCGGCACTTCGGGCAAAGCTTGCGAACTGCAGCGCGCCCTCCCGCCGCCCCCTGGGGTCGGGGTCGGGTTTGTGTAGCCGTAGCCGGGACGGATTTGGGCTTTGCCCCCTCTCGGTGCAGTTGCCCCCCCCCCCCCCCCCTCCTGCCTCTCTCTCTGCTTTGAAAATGGAGGCCTTGGCCGCCGAGCGCCCGCCCCGGTGCGCCCCGGGTTCCCCAGTGCGCCCAGCCCTCGGCCGCCGCTGAGCGCCCCCCGCGCCGCCCGCCCCGTCGCTCCGCCTCGGGAGCCCTGTTTCCGTCGCCCTCGCCTTTGGAAAAGGGGGCGAAGACTGCGCTGGTGACTTTCCCTCGCCCTCCCCACCCCTTTTTTATTGCTGAGAGAGGAGAGTTTGGCCCTAAGCCGCAGGGATGAAGTCGCCCCTCGGAGGAGGGTCCCTGGCCTCGCTGTGGGCGCTCCTGCTTCTGGCCGCCGCGCTCGCCTTCTGGCCGACGAGCGGAGAAAGTAAGTATCTGCCGCCGCCCGCAGCCGCCGCGCGAACTTTTCCATCGACGGGCTGCGCCCTGTTGGCGAAATCCGAGGGGTCGTGGCTCTCGCCCCCCCTCCTGCCCCTCCCCCCCCCGCGCGGGAGCGGCGGGGTGGGGCGCAGAGGGGCTCGGCGCGGGGGCCCGGGCTGGTGACTGACACCCCCGCGCGCCCTGGCTCAGCGCGTCCCCCCGCAAGAAGGGCCTTGGGGGCTTTCTCTACCCAAGTCCCGAGCGCCCCGTCCCGCGGGCAGCGCGTCCCCGAAGCGCTCAGTGCCCCGCGAGGCGCTGGGACGCGAGCGGGGAAGTTTGCGCCCGGCCGGACCCCGCCACCCGCACCTCGTCCCCCTCCGGGCGCGCGGAGAGGATCGGCGGCCGCCACGGCCCCAGCGCAGCGCACGGACGGCGGGGACTGCGCTCCCGCGGGCGCGCCGAGCCCTGGCAGCGGGGAGCCCCCTGGCCCGGAGGGTGCAAGTTCTCCTCCTTGGCGAGTTGCCCGGCGGCGGGGAGGACCCGCGCCCCAGCACCCCTTCCCAGACATCTCAGCGCGGCCTCCTGTCGCGCGACGCGCCGGGCACCCCTCGGGCTCTTAGATTCTTGGCCTTGCCCGTCACTTTCGCTCGATCCGCCGGGGGTGACCCGCCCCCAGCTTCCCTGGGCCGCGCGGTGTGGCTCGGAGGTGCGGGGAGCGGTCTTCGCTGAGTTCCGCATCCCGCCGTGCAGCCCCTGGGTTGGGGGGGGGGGGGCGGCGAGGTGCGAAGGCGGAGGTGCCCCGCGTCAACTACGCGCTTCTGGGGCGCGCGTCCCGCCCGAGTTCCGAGGGCTCTGGGACCTCCCACTTCTTGCCCATCCCGTGGACGCTCTCCTCCTCCGGGCCCGGCTGGAGAGGGGGTGGTTACACGGCACCCGAGTGCGCGAGTGGGTGTGTGGTCGGAGCCGACGTGCAATCCCACGGCGGTTTTGCGACGTGGGGGTGTCGCCGCCGCCACACACACACGGCCGCGCCGCGCGAGGACACCTCGATGCCCGGGGCTCCGGCCAGAGCGCGAGGCTCCGCGGAGGAGGAGGAGGAGAGAGGAGCGTGTTTTGTTTTGCGAACGCGCAGCCCTGGCCTTGGCTTTGAGGCCAGAACTGTGTGGCGCTCTCCCTCCCTCCCACCCCCCCGCGCGCTTCCTTTGTACATAGTTAATAAGCAATATCGCTCTACACGCGCTATCGCTTGCAATCTGATAGCTTTTGTTTGGGTAGCGTCGGGTAGGGGTAGGGAAGAGCGGGGTGGGGGGAGGGAGCGAGGGGGGAAGAAGTTTCGTCCACCACCCCCCCCATGGGCTGCGGAGGGAGGCGAGGAGGGGGTCCCGTAATTCTCAGAGAATGACAAAAGTGGCTCGCTGGCTGCTACATTGTTGAAGGTAAGGTAACTTGATGGCGATGACAAAGTTTCAATGCAGGCGCAGACCGCGGCTGGGAGCGGCGAGGGCGTGCTGGTGAGCTAATGGTTGCCAAGGGTAGGTATGCAGGTGGTGCCAATTAAAAACCACCCTGAGCCCTGAGGAGCGCAGGGCAGACTCCGGAGGCATCGGGGGCTGCCTGGCCGCGTCCAGGGCGCAGTTCAGTTCGCAAAGGCTGTTTGTCTAAACACACCCTCTCCTTCAATGCCTGGTAAGCAGCGAGTCCCCCCCACCACACGGAGGGAGAGCAGGGTTTTGGGGTGTTTTTTTTTTAGAGAATTAGCGTGTTGACTGCGTGGAGTTAGGACGCGCCTCGAGGCCCGCCGGACCTTGCCCAAATCCGAGCCCCCCTGTTCTTTTGTTTTCTCAACTTTCAGCTCATTGGATTGGGCGAGAGGCTTGGGGTTCCCGTCGGAGGCTCACCCACCCGCATTTTGGGGTGTGAGGGGGGGTAGGAGGGGGCTCCTAGCCTTTAAAAGCTGCGTAAAAAGTTTGGAAAACACGCCGGAGACTGGATGCAGGGAACGCTTGTTCCTGCCTTTGAACCCCTGCGGTGTCCCTGGTTTGGTGATTTCAAGAGAATAACTTCTGAAATTCACAAAAGGAGGGGTGGCCTCGCAGGGGAGTCCTCGAAGCAGGAGTGTGTCCGACATTTTAAAATAGGATGTCCTGTTGCTTGGAGCGGTTTTCATGAAAATACATTCCTTCTGGCAGGCGTTATTTTTTCCCCCTTATCTTTTTTTTTTTATTTTCTTGAGAAAACAGGCGGGAGGGGGTGTTTTCACGGGTGTTCCCAATCGCAGATAGCCAGAGCTTTTCTCCCAGAGGCCGTGGAAATGGTGGGCACCTGGAAAGACGGTGAGAAGCCAGGAGGCACCGGAAATGCCTGATTTTGTTGAAGATCTAACCCAGGACCTGGCCCTCCCCGGGGTGGGCATGGATTCCGTTTGGAGCCCAGAAGGTGCTAGGACACAGCGCTGAGAGAATACCCAAGGGATCCCACCAGGGTCTGGCTGCGATTCTCTGGGCGGGCGAGGGCAGCCATGAAGATTGGGTGGGGGGGGGTCCCCCATTGTGTTGGCCTACGTTGGCTCAGTGGTTCCTCTTGCTGCCAGCAATAGGATGAGCTTCAAAACAAAACAAAACACAAAAACCCTTGAATGTAGACAATTTAGAAGTTTTGGAATCAGAGAAAGTCGCCCAGGCGAGGAGGTTTCCTATCCATAGACTCTGAGACTATGAACAGAGCGTCTCTGTAAGGTTTTGGAGGCCAGGCGTGGTGGCCAGATAAACGGATGGCTCTAAAAAAAAAAATATTTAAAAAAACATAGTGCGCTTTGAAACGTGCCGTGGCCATCTCGTGAGAAGGGATTCCGTCAGCTTTCCGCGCCAGACACAGGCACGGCCGATGGTCAGGTATGTGACCCGGTGGCAAGAGGAGTCGGTGTTCTATTACCAGCAGAAGGAGTTTGGGGAGAGCCCACGTATAGCAAAGGCTAGTGTGGCGACGCCTCAGAGGGAAGTAGCCAAGGGCACGGTCATTTCTCTAGGTTGGCTGTGCGGGGAGGATTCCAAGAGTCCAAACCTGAAGAAATACGCGCAGGTCGAGCGCGAGAACCTCAAACACACGCAAAGCGAAAGAAGTCAGCCCCTCAGGATCACGTATCGTGTGGTCTGATTCCACGTATGCAAAGCCCAGAGCGAGCCATTCCATAGAGAGAGAGGAGAGCAGGAGTTGGAAGGCTGAGAGAAAGTGGGAGGGGGGGTATGAAGGGGAGGGGAGGTGAAGGGGAGGGGTCCCCAGTTTCTTTTGGGGGGGGGATGATGAAGAGATGAAAATGTGCTACAATTAGATCCTGGTGCCCCTCGCACAACTCTCTGAATATATGAAAACGAGTGACTTTTATGGTATGTGACTTCTATTTCAACAAACCCGTTCTTTTTCTAAATTATTATTATTTTTAAAGAAATAGGCGAAGGTGGGGAAGAAAGCCCTGTTCCATAGGCGTTAGATTGACATGATTAAGTGCATCCGGCCAACAGGTTGGTGTCCGGCCGCCCCTCTTTAATTTAAGGAGTTTTGCCATAATTGCAGTCATACCACCAGCTGATCATTGAAGCTTGAAGCTAGTGGGTGATAGTCAAGTCGTTGGATAGCCTTTTTTTTTTTTTTTTTTAAATCACATGCATTTTCCACACTGTGGCCATTTCATGAACAGAATCCGGGAGAGATGGACAGGCAGGAGAACAGAGTGTTGGTTATAGAGTTGAGATTCAAGATGGAGGGGCTGGACTGAGACACACACACACACACACACTCACACTCACACGCTAGTGAGGTTTGTAGCAGGAAAATTCTTCAGTGAGCCCGAAACAGCGTTGGGTCTTTCCAAGATGAGAGTTTAGAAGCTGAGTTCGGATGGCTTTTTTTTTTATTTTTAATATATTTCCAGCTCCTTCCATATGTTTTCCAACACAGAACTTAATGGAGTGTTGTCAGCGGGTCAGGAATTTTCACTTTCTTTTCTGATATTCCATATGACCCACCCCGATGGTAAAGAAGATGAGCTGTTCATTTGAATGTAGTGGGGTTGTTTTTCTGTTTGTTTTGTGTGTGTGTGTGTATGTGGGTTTTTTTTTTTTTTTGGTTTTGTTTTTTTTATCCCTTGGTTGCTTATTTTATTTCTTGCCCAGCTTTAGCATCTGAGCTGGAAAAAGCATCTTTGTAACCTACAGTAGCTCTGCAGGCGTACTGTCCTTCAGAAAAAAAAAATTTTTTCTTAAGGAGCCAAAGATTTGTACAATCCAACAAAGGCATTTGTGTGTGTGTGTGTGTGTGTGCGCGTGTGTGTGCGCGCGCCCTTCTCCAAATTTACCTTGGCCTTTTAATGGGAAGGGATGTAGCGGAGAATTGCTGTTTACGTTTGTTTTGGGTCTTTGTTTTGGCTGAGTTCACCCAAGAAGAATGTGTTTCCTCTCGTTACTGTTGCAAGAGCAGGGCAGTAAATGCAAATGAAATGGATCATTTTCACTTGTTGCCTTAAGAGCGGTGCAGGGGGGGGGGGGGGACCGGGGGATGCCTTAGGGATGGCCGCTTCCTTTGCAATCCGGGTTTTCATTGGTTTTTAAGAACGTACGGGTGAGAAGCAGCAGGGGGCGACACAGCCAGCACCGAGTGGGCACCTGCTGTATGCAGTGTGCCGGGCCATGCCCGGGCCCACTGAAGCGACAGAAGATTTTGCTTTTGCCCTTGGGGACATTTTACATACTCAGGCCTGAAACAGAGTTGCCTGCAAACACAGTTACTCGATTCATTGTTTCAAGGAGACTGCAAACAGCATTTTTTTTTTTTTTTTTAAATAGGCCCTTTTGGAACCTTGCTGTAGACTTAAGATAGTGTTGTTAAACCCGCGGATCTTCTGCAGGCCTGTGCTGGGTGCACCCTCGGCCTCGGGGTGCAGTGTCACGCTGCACGCCATGACCTAAAGGAGACATTCGCCCGCCCGTCATGGTCCGCCACCCTGCCTTCTTG